GGACCATTTTTCAGCCCAGGGCGGCACCAGTCCGGGAACTTTTTGATCACACCTCGTAGTCTTGATTGGAATTCAATTGATCAGGTGTTCCAAAATGAGACTACTCTCAATTTTTCTTCGAGCTTTAAATCAGAAATTTATGAGGTCATGGTCCCTAATCATTGACACTTAAACTATGCATTAAAAGTAGCATCTTCATTTTTTTTTTGTTAAAATGTCCTTAGTGTGAAAAAGAAAAAGAAAAAGAAAAATTCAGCGAGCAGACAGATATGCCCGAGAAATTTATGAAGGTGGCCATAGGCTTGAAAGTTGCCCTTTCCAACAAAAACACACATTTTCCTGGTATGTTCTGTTTCTCGGTTCTCCTTCTTCTAATTCGAAAGTGTTCTCAAGAAATGCCTGCTGAATTGTTTTTTCTCAAACATTCGGTGGCAACAGGTGAGAAATAAAAAAAATCCTAGTTGCAACATATGAATACATTAAAATTTGCGGTTGTAAAATAGAGAAAGTGTGAAGAGTGAGCAGCAAATTAATGATAAAGTTAAAAATACCAAGTGTACAAGGTACACTCTGCTACAGGTATGGACAAATGGAATTTTAGAAAGTCGTCAAAACGCGTAGATTTGACAGCATCAAGAGTACGACTGCGAAGACCTGCGCGGCAAATGGACAGTACGACTTCATACGTCACTCGATTGCCGATTTTCTCAGCGCTGCCACTTCGGCACCCCGTTTGTCCATACCTGTAGTAGAGTGTACCTTGCCAAGTGTATCCTGAAATAAGCAGGCCCGAAAGTCTCTTCACCTGCACTTTCATTGTGGTGAACTCGGGTCATAAGAAAGTCCTAAAACTGACATTTTGAGAAAATGTGATGGCTTGACCTCGGCCACCTCCCTTGCAACCTCATGGATGTTTATTTTTTTCTTCTTCTTCTTTCTTTTTTCCCCCTGAGAATAGAGTCTCTTGATGTTATCTGACATCTTTTCACCTTAAACTTAAACAAATTTGGGAAATTTTCAGATTCCCCATTTCTTAAAGTAGAACAATTTCTAACACAATACAGGCTGATAAATTCACCCCTGTCTGCTAGAAGCTCAGTAGCACACTTAAACACTGCTATTAAAAAATTCTAGTTCATTCATTGGATTGATAGGCCACATTCAAATAATGTAACATTCACTTAAGAAATGTGTAAATGAAAAGGATGGAAGTATACACAAGTTTAACAACTGTTGAAAGTAAGTAAGTAGGTACCTTGTACATCCACCAAAAAGTATCGCCACCACGAAAGCACTTTGTTCTCGAGGACAAATCTCTCCTTCTCTTTCACAGAATCGCTTCGCATGGGAACGAAGTAGTCCCCGACGATTTCATCCGTGAGAGGGACCTCATGGGGGAGGAAAAATTTCCGGAGTAAACTTGGATTTGCCCTAACCACTTGCAGGACCCCGAGGGTGCTGAGCCCCTTCAGAAACTGCTGGAATGCTTCCTCTAGTCTCTGGACCAGCGTGAAGCGAAGAATACCTGCAAATTAAAAAATGGACACAATGATAGAAAGTAGAAGAAAAACAAATATGAATCAAAGGCAATTTTGAATAATTCTTATGAAGGGTTTTTCAGTCACCGATGGTTTAATCATTATTATGTTATTTACATTGTTTACGCACAGTAGTTTGCATTTTTAAAGCAATAAGGAAATGAATAAGTACCAAACTGACATGACCTTCTGTTTCAATGGAGGATTTTAACGGTTCTACTGTTTAGGAGCAGAAAATCAACCATATTCATTGCCTTTTAATGGTGCTCATACAAGAAGTTTTCAACGTTTCCTATAAACTTGTTATCTTCAAACCTAAAGCACACAGAAATGAAATGTTGATCGTTGAATTAATTATCTCTGAAATTTGACAAAAAACAAATAGGTATTTAAATGGCTTGATTTTAAACGTCCATCAAGGAATTATACATTTTCGAGGTCACCAAAGAAATATTTTCCTTTAGGGCTTAGGGGTAAATTATCACAGGATCATTAGCCAAATAAGTGCTGGATTGATAATGCACTTGAGAATTGCTGCAAGTTTCATACTCCATTTAGAGCAGCTTCAATTCGAACTGTTCTCCTTTTCGTGGAGGAGGTAACTTTTAATCGTAATTGTATCCTTCAAAGATTCATCATTAGAGTTTTGTCCTCATATCTAAGTTACCACATGACAAATAACTTTAAAAGCTGTCATTCTCGTCCTGGAGCCAAAATGAAAAATAATAACAACTACAATTTCACTGGAAGGTAATGGCAAAAATTCTTATGAGAATAACTTTCTCAACCCTTATCAAAGACATCAGATGCCTCCAGCTTGCAACTTTGGAATTTAAAGATGTTACATGTATTGATACTTACTCATCACCAGCAGTTCTTTGTCATTCAAGCTTTTGACATTTTGCATTATTCCCACAGCAGATAGAAAAGAGGAGGTATTTACATGGTACTGCAGATCTTGAATGTTCGACATGTTTTCAATTTTCATTATCTCCTCCAGAATGATAGGGTCATAAACTTTTTCTCTAGTGATTGCTCTGTTAGAGAGAGAGTTTTGCAGGATTGCTTCATAAAATTCTTCGGAGAAGAAATTAGGGCCTGGCCCCCGGTGGACAATAGATAATGCAATAATTTGTCCTGCGATGAAGTACTTATTGCTACCTAAAGCTTGCGCTTCCAGGGTAAGGAATCTTTCACTCTCTGGGCCTTCAAAGAGGCAACTCCTATGCATCTCTTTCACAGCTAGTGTGAAAAATTCCAATGTCACACCTCCTATATCGACTGCGCCCTCCGGCTTTCCTAGTAGGTCGGTGAATGTAACAGAAAGCGGTTTTGTTGGGTCAAAGGATGACTTTAAAAGTCCCCTTCCGGCCGAGCTTAAGACACTTTCTCTTTCAACATAAAGAGGTCTCTGCTTACCTTCCCCAAGAAGATTTTTCAGGAAGGAGTAGCACTGGTCCAAAGAGGTAAATTTTTGTGAAAAGAAATCTGAGCCATCATCTACTGAGAATACTTCTTTTGAGTCGTCGTCATTACAGTCGAATATCACTTGTGGCTCTAGCACGGAAACGTCATAATCAATTGTATAATGTTGTTTTGGAAGTGAAGGCACCTCAAACTGTAAGGAAGAAGAGGGTTTTGGTGTATGCCGCTGATTGATGTAAGTTATGGGTGTATCGATGTCTTCTTCTTCATCTTCACTGAAACCCTCTATGTGTACGTCCAGATTTTGGTCTGGGACAATATACATTTTCTTGTTGTTAAAAATGAGATAGACCATCCCACCATCCATCGTTAGACCAGGTTTCAGTCTCGGTTCGGAAAGAAAGTTTCCCTCTGCTCTCATCAGTTTAAAAGAGACGTCATCGAGAAGAGGCTTAAAGGACTCCTGAATATCATTTTGTATTTCAGCTGCTGTTGAGCTTCTACTAAAAGAAATGACATCGCATTTCAGTTCTTTCTTTTTTTTGATTGCACTCAGGTAATTTTTTGTCACCTCCGATATTCCTTTCCGAGGGATCAGTGTGACATCTTTGACAAAAAAGTCCAAGTTACCCCTTTTCCTTTTCACTAATCCTTCAACGAGTAGGGGCTTTTTAATCTTGAACTTGTCATTCACAGCTTTCCTGACTTCATCTTTAGATAAGGCTCTGGTAGGAGTGGATCGACTGTGTGATGACTGTAAAGGTGAGCTGTTTCGGCTGGAGGAGGCAGCTGACCTGTCTGTGCTTGATGTTAATGCTTCAATATCATTCTGGAGCACCACCAAATCATTTTTGAATTTTCGGAGAAAGTCTTCTCTAGATAACGTGCTATTATCCATGATCGATCAATGACCTGCAAACAATTAAGGAGAATTATTGATCATAATTTTAATACTACTATTCGTATTTTCTAAAGCCACATTGTTTCATTGGATCTGACTGCTCTTTGTTGCAGTGTGGCATTCACATTTACTTTCATAAGCTTGAAACCTTTCCGTTACAACATCTCTTTAAAGCACAAAGCTGAAAATTTACTTTCTGAGGAACCTAATTTCTTGGTTTACAAATGACAATCTTCAGGTGTGGACTAGATATAGACACTTTCAGAAGTGAACTTCGAATTCATGCTCAGGATAAGGGAAGAAAGATACATTTTGAGCTAAAATGAAAAGCCATCCCAAACATTTCAAAATCAGCTTACCCTCACCCCTGCCTATTTAGAGATTTGTGGTATTCTCAAGTGTAAATGAGAAAATCACATTCTCCGAATGGAGAGAAATCAAACCATGCAGAGGAAACACGTTATAAAGGTAGAAAATGTAGCCTTGTGATGAAATCATATATTTTTCCCTCTAACAAGCACACAGGGTGAGAATAGGATCCAAAACTTTGAATTGTGATAAGTAGAGGGAAGGTAATCTGATTACCATCGAGGCACCGTTCCACAAAGTCCAACCTCCTCTCCACCCTCCCCATCCAATGCACAATATTTTCGGTCCCTTCACTCTCCAAGAATGCTTGTCAATAAAATAAGTACGTAAGACTTCACTACAAGACTGCATTTTCTACCATATTCATTTGTTTCCTTGGCACGGTTTGATTTTCCCCCATTTTCACCGATTGCATTCTTCATGGTAACTTAAGAGCTCCCAGGGCAAGGTGCAAAAACGGTTGATATCAACCTTTCTTCCTCTTGAGTCCTGATTGTTGCCAAGAGGAAGGAGAAAATGTCTAGAAAGCATAATTTCTTAGGACTATGTTGCTTAGAGGCTCCTATCATTGGGCTCTCAAAGGTAAAAAGGAGGAAAGGCAACTTTAACATTGTATGATTACCCATGGAAGTGTTTCTTCAACATGCGATCGATAGCATCATACCTAGGGTAAGTTGAGCACAGAATCTAAAAAACTGGTTTATGCTTTGCTAGAGTTAATAGGCAGTGTCAAGACATTGCAAAATAGCAAGTTTTGCACCTTGAATAAAAACAAAATGTCATGTTCCGGTCTACCTTGCTTCCGAGTTTCTATTAGCTGAAGTCCATCCTAGTAAGATGAATATATCAAGCTTCTTAAGAGGGTGATTGAGCAAATCATGCTTCAATAACGAAAAAAACTTACGTAATTCCAGTCTTCCAGAGGAGCTGAGGAAGTTATGGTGAAGCGCAAAGAATCAAATTGGCACTACTACGGCAGCACGAACACTAGGAGAGCCGAGGATAGTTGCTGGGCGAACCATGACGAGCATTAAACTTGCCAATTTCAAAAGATGGGTGACCCTTGCAGCTGCGGGAGACTACATACATTAAAATTTAACTCTTGCCGGTCTCTGAAATCTCAGGGTAGATTTGTAACGTCTAGGGCTTTGCACTCAAGAAGTTCCGGTTGTTTCCTCAAAGTGGAAACAAAAAGTTAGTTCTAATCAGAGCTAAACGGGATACCATAAGGTTCAGATTCTTTACCCTTTGCAACTTGTAATACTTCTGTCTTGACTGGTTTATTAGCAGTAATTATAAGTTAGGTACAAATTCACTGACAAAATCACTCGGAGCACTTCAACACGTGGTTCGAGAGCAGAGCAGACATGTAGGCGTGCATACGGAAAAAACAAACAAACCGAACAACAAAACCCTAACCTAACTAACCAGAAAATGCGCGGGAATATGTCTTGGCGCCACTTGGCGGCGCACCGAACCCAAGGTTGCAAAATTTCAATGAGGAATTTCATTCTCCTTTCTCAATGAGATTTAATGCTCCGAAAAACCCCTTTAAACAGAGATTCTAATTCGTAAGTTTAAGATACGAAAATAAGAAGAAAGAACTTGAAAAATATCAGGGCAGTTAGTGCGTCTGGTGCGGTTTCCACGTTCAGACACTGAAAATGAACAGAAATTAATTTCACAACCCTGCGTCGCACTGAAGGGCACTATGCAAATCCGATTGGTCGGAAGACCAAGAAGGAGATATCATTGGTTATTGCAACAAATGGAAGGAAATATGAATTTGGGGCGCGTTTTAAATAGCGCGTCCCCCCGTCCCCGGCCCGTGCTGTCATGAAAACCGGTTGCCAAAGTAGAAAACAGTTTCCAGGCACACTTCATCGTTCATGCATACCTTACTACATTTGAGGATAAATAATGAGGTTTAATGACAATGTAGTTACATTGAACATAATAATAAAGTATCAATTTTGGCAAAATCACAAAAACATGTTACTTATTACTTAAGTGGGTGCCACCTCATCAATTGGAAGCTATGACAGAGAACCTTAATTGTCCGTTATCAAATTTTTCTCTTTTAAACATTTAGATGTGAGCCTAGGTTACCCAGAGGGTATATATAGTCATTAGGGTGTTCCATTTTCAGACAACCGTCTCAAAACCTTGCTCCCCGGGCTTTTCCCCATTCCTTTTGGTC